GAATCAGAATGAGAGAGGGCGAGGGCGAGTCCAGCTCTGGGGAAGAAGACCTCGTGACCTGAGTATATGATATCGAAATTATGTACACATAGGTATATAAACGAACGGATGAATCAACAAGGAGATAGAAACAATCTGTTAGGAGAGGAATGTAGCAGCACGTCAATGAACCATGGAATGAATGGGTTATTGATTGGTATTTCAATAACAAAGTACCTACGTATACGTTATTACTTTTCTAGTTTGGAGGTATGCTTATACGTGATGTGATGATACCTATATATGTATCTTATATTTGGGGTTATAAATATCATGCTTAATTCATGAAGTATCTAGGTAGCTAATAATGGAGGTAATATTGGTGTTGGGGGTAATTCATGAAGTTGTTGGGGGGTTATTTATAACCCTTCTCAAGGCGTTATTAGTAACCCTCCCCAATAACCCTCCCCAATAACCCTCCCCAATAACCCTCCCCAATAACCCTCCCCAATAACCCTCCCCAATAACCCTCCCCAATAACCCTCCCCAACAACCCTCCCCAATAACCCTCCCCAAAATACCACCCAAAACACCACTGGAACAATCGTCGTCAGCAGAGCTACTAGAACTAGGTAATGATACTGAAGTACCCAATAAATCAAAAGAAAGCCCTCCAGCTTCCAAGGTTATTCTAGTCATAATGAAAGGTTCTAGAAGCAATTCGAATATTAATTTTGATTTTGCCTTGAGGGAAGGAAGGAGGTTCTATCTATCAAATCAAATCAAAATCAAAATCAAAATCAAAATCAAAATCAAAATCAAAATCAAAATCAAAATCAAAATCAAAATCAAAATCAAAATCAAAATCAAAATCAAAATCAAAATCAAAATCAAAATCAAAATCAAAATCAAAATCAAAATCAAAATCAAAATCAAAATCAAAATCAAAATCAAAAACAAAAACAGATGCTTTAATAAAAAAGCTTAGGTATGCGTACAACAAATGATGCGGATTTGGTCAAGGAGATTGTAGGGGGATGGTTTGGTCGAGCAATGGAAATAGTTGTGCGTGGGGATGGTTGGCAAGATGGTTGGCAAGATGGTTGGCAAGATGGTTGGCAAGATGGTTGGCAAGATGGTTGGCAAGATGGTTGGCAAGATGGTTGGCAAGATGTTGGGGACAGGCTGTTGCTGGATATAGTATCTAAGTATGAAGTGAAAGGTTTATATCACTCTTCTTCGTCATGATGTGAGATCTTTGTTTTTATTATATTGGGATATGACATCAGCGCCCGCGACATCTGAACATCAATTTCAAAGCCAACCTTCAAATCCCAATCGACTTCTAATAGGGAGATGTCGGGTACGTATAGCACCTTTGAAGAATCAAAAGTGGATTGGCATTGATTGGTTCACTTAACACAATCACTTAAAACAAGCACTTAACAACCGCTAAATTCTCACTCTCAACTACCTACTCGCTGTCGGTCCGCCTGCCTACTAGCTAGGTAACCAGTCCAGTGAACATGCTAAAATTTCACCATTCCACCACCTTCACACCCTAATCAGCGATGCCTTACTCTACGCATCTCGAAACCCTCGAAAACATCACGAGAGAAAGAAACTTGAGTAGAGAGGCCCATGTATACCCCGCCCAATCAAAATATTTGCACTTCAATCAAACTCCTAAGCCCTGCATCAATATCCATTGAAAATAAGTATCCATAACCAGACCATATGAACACCCGTGAAAATATGCGTGAAATGCGTATGCCTTTATAAAATATCCATCCATCCATTATCTAGGACTGACCAAACTGTCCGCAAACGATTCAGGTGTACTTTAGATTTCCTCCATTGTACCCGCTGCCTCTTCATTATCATCGTCGTCGTCAAAACTAGCTACCGAGGACATGGTATCGTCATCTGATTCGTCGGCGCCCGCATCGTCTGCTGCGTCTTTACTTGCGTATTTCGTTACATATTCTGTATTTCATCAGTTCCCATCCCATCCACTTGCAAAATGCTTCCCAATAACATCCTTAAATACACACCTTTAACCTTTAAATCATACGCTTTCGAATCCCTCATAAGTAGTGCGGCGGCCTCTCCATTCAGTGGATCCGTTGGATTTGGATATCGAAGTAATTGCGGGAGGAACACTTCAAAGATATTGATCATATCGAACATTGGCGACCAAGTTTGATTTATCACATCGAGACAGACGGAACCGGATCTATGAAGATAGTCTCAGTAAGTAATCTGTTCCACCGTGTTGGTGGTGGGGAAAGGGCCTACAACTCATCGATATTAGGGTGAAAGATGCGGTTTTCGAAACCGATGCTGGGAGATTTGTAGGGATACTGATCTGGGAGTTCGACGTGGATTTTCCAGAGTCCGCCTTCGAATGGTGCTGTGGGGGTAGCGGTTAGTTTATGTGTTTGAGAGAAGGGAGTGTCGGAGGAGAGGGGAGAGGAAGTGAACTCACTCTCTGCTGGTCCCTTGAAGCGGACATAGAACTCTTGCCTATTATTGCCATTACATGAGCGGCCGATTCCAAAGTTCTCCTCGACATATTACATACACTAGATAAAGGGTTAGAATTTCTGCAGACTGTATGGGTATGTTTCCAACTCACTATTGTCATTTACAAGAGTCACCTCATAATCCGACATCAACCTATACTCCTGGTAAGCACTGAAGCATAAATCAATCGGACCAGCCGTGAAAAGGTGTCGCATACATCCTGTAATCACCCTGTTAGCTAAATTTCCTTAAAAAACAAGTCCTCAAGCAATAAACACTGACTTCATGACCTATATATCCAAACCCCGACGTTAGTCTCAACTCGTCCAAATAACGACTATGGGATACTACTTACATCAGTCTCAATCCTCCGTCTCGGACTAGACATTTTGACGCTTGAGTTTATGATATTTTATTCTGGATCACGCAAGTGTTCGACGTAAGGATTCAGTAATTTGTAGATTTAGAAAAATGGCAAAATGGTAAAATGGTGAAATAATGAGTTTATATGAGGAGAGAATTGATCTTGGAGTTTGTTGTAGTAGCTGCTAGACCGTGGACCGTACAGTCCTTATCTGAGCGATAAAGCGGTAACAATCGGTAGTTGCCGATTCATGCGCCCGCTTTGGTCTCGTGAGATGGTTTAAATGGTAGCTACTAGGTAGGTCGGTCCACGGGTAGGTATGTAATCTGTGTAATGATATAACAATAACGTGATAATACTTGCTCACGAGGTTTGGGGTTTGTCTTTGTCCGGATATGGATCGTGGATCAAGAAATATGAAGGCGAGGAGGGGTAAACACATCATCATATACTTTTCACCCACCCGAGCCACCTCAACCTGTATGATTCACAAGAACGCCTCAGTCTGTGATTGAACGATGAAAGACAATTCGCAGGTACACCACAGCACATTGCATGATCTGAATGCTGCTTTAGATATCTTGGAGTAGGACCATATTGAACGGTATTACGCCGGAAAGGAGGGAAACGAAACGCTTTTGATACCAAGGTTGTGATTCCACAGAAGTAAATCATCTAATCCCTATGGTTGTAAGATCTTACCATCTTCGTGCCATACCTACCTATCTATGTATGAACAATAACTCAGGTCCCAAAAGAATCAAGAGCATCTCATCTCATGCCACCTGCATCCATCATCACCCTTTTCTTCCGCCCAAACTACCGCCTCGGTTCCCCTTACATAATCTAGCCCCATCCCTCGGCCCAAAGAACCACCCCAAGCGACAAAACGAACCGCAAATAATGAAATAATCTCACTTTGAGCTCCAGTATGGAAACCACAGCGCAATAATCATCACGACCTCAACAAAAAGTTTGTTATGGACCTCCGCTATTCTTACAATGGCTCTCCATCATCCATCTTCAAAGTTTTCTAATCATCAATTTCAATCCGTGAGAATTTCTTTCCATCAATTCCAACCATGTCTTCATCATTTCCCATCATGAAGATGAGCACGCGCACACTATTGAAGCAATATTCACGACCAGCAACTTTTGCTGCTAGACTATTTCTGGCACAATGTCAAACTAGAAAAAGTTCGCATAGTCCTATGGGCTCACCGAGTGCGAGGAAGAAGGTCACCATGACTACATTGAGGTCCATGTATAAGAAAGGGGAACCTATCGCCGTAATGACGGCTCATGATTTCCCAAGTGGTCATGTCGCGGATGTCGCGGGTATGGATATTGTTTTAGTGGGAGATAGTTTGGCTATGGTAGCCTTGGGAATGGAGGATACTAGTGAGGTTATCATGGAAGAGATGTTGATGCATTGTCGTTCTGTATCGCGTGCTGCAAAAGCTGCTTTCACTGTATGTACATTCCCGTATTCCCTCAATTCATGCACCACCTCCTTTACTAACAAACCAAATCATCAGGTTGGAGATCTTCCTATGGGATCATATGAAATATCCCCCGAACAAGCTCTCGAGTCCGCTTTTCGATTTGTGAAGGAAGGTCGAATGCAAGGCATTAAATTAGAAGGAGGTGCAGAAATGGCACCTACCATCAAGAAACTTACCACCGCAGGCATTCCAGTCCTAGGTCATATAGGCCTCACACCCCAACGCCAAAACTCACTCGGTGGCTTCCGCGTGCAAGGTAAAACTTGTGCCGGTGCACTGAAAGTTCTCGAAGATGCACTCGCCGTCCAAGAAGCCGGCGCTTTCGCAACGGTCGTTGAAGCTGTTCCCCAAGAAGTTGCAAAACTCATAACCGAGAAGCTATCTATCCCTACAATCGGCATTGGCGCAGGAAATGGTTGCTCGGGACAAGTTTTGGTGCAAGTTGACATGACTGGCAATTTCCCACCCGGCCGATTCCTCCCAAAGTTTGTAAAGAAATATGGTGATGTCTGGAGCGAAAGCTTAAAAGCCATTACGGAATACCGCGAAGAAACGAAGTCTCGAGCCTACCCAGCCCCAGAGCATACATATCCGATTCCAGAGAAGGAGCTCGAGGAATTTCGAAGTGCGATTAGCAAAATAGATTGAGGTTTTGTGGGTGGATTATCGATGTTGTTGGATCGCAGGCGTATTTGTCCAGCTTTTAGATTCCCAATATTTGCTTAGCTTTTAGATGCACGATAGCAATATAATTTTTTTGTATACCGACCCAAATCTAGTTTAGAAAGCAATTGAATACCCCATGTTAACCGTTTCGTTTGAATGTTTGAATGACTGTCTACCGTGTATCGCATGGTTCGTTCAATCATCCAAATGCCGGCGTCATCGAATAGGTGACAATAAGCTGGTCCTTCGAATCCTTAAAACACTATTCCAAAAATTAGCATTGATCCAACCCAAACCCTCATCCCACACTCCCCATAACCAATCCCATAAACCACTCACCCTATGCAAATTCCCCACCACCTCATCCAACGCCGGCGCAAAACAGCTATTCACATACAAGAACACACTTTCCCTCTCCCCCCCTCCCCCCGCATTCCGATCCAACTTCAACACCCTCCTCAAATACGCCACGACCGTCTCAAACCTCTGTGTCGAACTAATCCTCGACACCGGTCTCTGCAACGCGGGCGCCGACCCAATCGGCTGGAACCGCACCGTGATTTTCGGAGTGGGAAATACAAATGCAGAGTCGAGCGCGGTGCTGGAGTCGCGCGGGAGATTGGTGAGCAGGAGGGAGGAGGTCATGGTGAGGGGGAGAGTGGGGGAGGAGGGAGGGAGATCCGGGATGCCTGAGGAGTGGGTGCGTGGGTGTGTAGGGAAGGAGGCGGTGGGGGTTGTGGGGGTGGGCGTGCGGGAGGGGAGGGGAGAGGTGTCGGGGTTGGGAGAGCTCATTGTTTCGTGGTGTGGCTTGGGTTTGTGTGTGTGTGTGAGTTGGTTGTGTTTTGTTTGGTGGCTGGAAATTCGATTGTGAATGGCTGCGGAAATGGTCGGTTTAATCTTGATGTAACAGATTATCACGGAATGTTGTGCAATGTGAGGATGAGTCTGGTGGACGAGATTGTACGATGATGGGAATGAATCAGACGAGGCTGAGGCAGATGAATATGATGCGGACTTTCGATGCGGAGTTGCGGCCGACTGGGTGGAGAGTGGGGCAAGGATTTCATGTGAACCCATATTTTAAGTTTCGGCAGACTACTTTTAAGCTCACCGGGAGATCACTAGGAGTTCACTGGGGATACTCGATTTACCAGGAATAATAATCTTTCCCTCGTGCTACTAGTAGTATTTATGAATTAAAATGGGCTCATTGGAAAGAAATGCATGGTAAAGCTCCATGGGTAAAGTACTCAGCATCTATTCGGACGTTATCAATCTCGATTGATTTGTGGGTATATATATATACATTTATACTTTTTTGCTCGGAGTGGTATACATCATTATCATACAATTCATTTATCCCCCTTCGTTTAACCGCGTAAAGCTTCGATATCTACAACCTCCTTCACGGCCTCGGTAGTTAGTACTAGAGGTGAATCCTCCTGTATACAAACGCTATCCTCAATTCTGATACCCATGCCCCTAAAATGAGCTGGCCAGCGCTCATCATTTGGTACATAAATTCCCGGCTCGATCGTAATACAATGTCCTTCCCTGAGAAGATTACTTCGAGAGTATCCTGGAGTGTCGTGAACATCAAGTCCAATATAATGGCCGACGTGATGTGGAAACAAGGTATCGATAGCATTTCCAGACATATCGAATCCTAGTTGTTTCAATTGATCTGTGAGACCATTTCTGGTAACTGCATGGATTTTATCCAAAGTCATGTTTGAACTCTCCCTGCATAGCGCAACACTACTTCGTTGTACCCTTAAAAGTGCTTCGTAGAGATCTTTCTGGGCATCTGTGAATTTGCCATTGATGGGCCATGTCCGAGTGATATCCGTAATATATCCACCATATTGTCCACCGGCGTCTACCAGGACAAGCTCGCCATCTCGTAGTACATCGTTGTTGGAAACGTAATGTATGCTCTGGGCATTTCTTCCACCTCCAATGACTGGCACATAAGCATTCTTCTCACAACCTCCGATTTTAAAATCAAAGTCAAGAAATGCGCCAAGATGTTTCTCTTCAGTCCATCGTTTCCGCATAGCATTTGTAAAAGATCTGCCGGAGATTCTACCTGCTTTCCGCATATTTTCGATTTCGGCGTCACTTTTGATCGCCCTTAATTCATTTATCAACGGCCCAATTGGTTTCGATTTTTTTGCTTTAGCATCGCGGAATAGTTGCATAAGATCCTTTTGTTTCATTACACCTTGGATCGAGTCCAGAGTACCCCCAAGGAAAGATTCTTTGACATCCATATATATTTCACTAGCTCCCTCAATAAGTGGCCTTAGATGTGAAGCTGCCTGGTTGACATCTCCAGACTGTGTCAATGTTAGTATTGTTATTGTTTGCGAAGTGTTGTAGAAATTGGTGTCTTACTTCATCTGCATTAAAAACATCCAAGGCAGCTTGTTCCCCAGATCTAGCACCATCCCAAAGTTCTGCCTGCGGGTCTTTAGGTCTAACAAATAGATGAAATATAAATTCTGAAGACTCCAATCTCTGTATTACTGCAATTGCCTCCGGTTCATTAAATCCAGTAAGATAGAAGAAATTTGATTGCTGGTGAAATTCATGAAATACGGCGCCAGACCTATATTTGATATCTGCCCCTCTTAAGATGGCGATTGAATTTGGAGGAAGTTTTGCAGCGAAATCTGCTCGTCGATCCGCATATTCTTGCGCCGAGATACCTGGAGTGACTGATCACTTTGTTTAGTTTTGTTGTAATTATACCATTGAAGTCTTCTCCATACCTTCTCCAGCATTAAGTAAATGCGGATGGGTTTCATGAACCGGTTGACCAAATTGAAGTTCTGAAGCTGATATGGAAGCATACGTCCTTCTTGGTTGATGTGTTGTGTGACATCTTGTTGCTGCAGACGATACTTGAGCTTGACATCGAGGTCTTGAAGATATTATTGATGAAGATGATATTCCTCTCCTCCTACTGGTCCCTTCCAATTGCTGGAACAGTGCTCTTGTTCTTCTACCACACTTCATGATAGAGATTAGCAATTGACCGCTGACGGGATTGAGGTTCTCGAGTCTTTCCTTGTACTGTGTAAGTATACAAGAGGAAGATAATATATATTATTTTCTGCGACTCAACCTTAGTATTTCGTTATGTCATGTTCTAGTTCCTCTTACCAAGGTAGGTAGTTTATACATACCCGACCTAGTAGTCATAGACTCATAGTACCGTCCTATATCATGAGCATTATCAAGCATAAATTGGAAAGGTTTAATTGGTTTAAAGGGTTCGAGATTAGCTCCAAATTACTCGAGTATTGACCTAGACGGGTAGTATTTTAGCATTGGATTAGGATCTTATTAGTATCTCCCTAGTAAATAGCATCTAATTAGTATTTACCAGGTATTATCCATAATCCGTCCTGACAAACCGGGGAAGGTAATTTAAATTGGTTGCTGTGTTGCTGAGTGAATATAATCGATGAATCCACTTCGCGCTCTTTTAAGCCTTTTGTTGTCTACCATAACATCCAAACCTGGTAGTCCTCTGTAGTCATCATCACATCCAAAAAATTAAAGGAACCTTACCCTACCCATAAACCATAACCATAACATCGACCATACAAAAGATTGACACTTCACTTCACACCACCCACCCAAAAAAATAAACATCCACTCCAGCATTATCCCAACCCACATTCATTGAATTGTGTGGTGTTCACGACTCTTTGGTGTTAATTCATTCCAATGCTGCTCACTTCCCCAGACTCTTGAATTATATTTACTAATGTCTACATAAAAATAAGAGCTTCAAGGAAGTGGTGATAAACCGTGTCAAAAGTCGCGTGCTAGAACCACCCCACTCCACTCCTTCACAGGAATTTCTCTGTCCTACACAGAGAGTATTGATATCTTTTCATATGGCAACAGTATCACTATCTCCATTACCTGTCACATTAGCAACCAATATGTCGACCAGGAGGCAGCCTCTCTCCACCATCTCCAATGTCGCCAACTCCCCATATCGAGCGGTAGCTTCCACCACAACTAAACAAAAACGATCATACGCCAACATACAACGCGAAGATGCATACGGACAACCACCCCCGGCGAAAAAGCAGATGCTGGATGCACATCACCAAACCTTAAGAACGCCTCCACGTCAAAGTATTAGCCAAGTATCGGGTGAAGGAAGGATTTTTACTCGGAGATCAACTCAGCCATCCAATTTTGAACGAAAGTGTGTGGCAGCTAGAGGTGATAGAGGTGCTCAACAACAGCAGATTACAAAGGCGGATAAGGTGCCTGAGGAGAATTTGGAATCGATACGCCAATGGCAAAAGCATTATAGGAAGAGTTTTCCCAAATTCGTCTTCTACTTTGAGAGTATACCAGAGGATGTCCGACTTAAATATACTAAACAAGTTCTCGCCCTAGGTGCAGTAAGTAAAGTCTCTGTGTAAGTAATTGGGTATCGTGGATTGTATTGACATCTTCTCAGCGCGACGAAAAGTTCTTCTCGAATGAGGTCACTCATGTCGTCACCACTCGATCGATTCCACCGGAGACCCCATTTACTTCTTCAACTACCGCCGAGTTACATTCGCAACACGGCACTATTAACCCCTCTTTGCTAGACAGATCATCCGAGACTGCAGATTCAAGGGAATCTCGATCGAAGTTTACATTTGAAGCTCCAGGTGGTAGAAGACTTAACACACAAGGACATGATGGAGACACACGACGACAACAAGTCCGTAGCTCGGATGTACTATACAAGGCGCGAGAGTTGGGGATGAAGATATGGGCATTGGAAAAGTTGCAACGAATGATGACAACAATGTTTGACACAGATACTGGTTACCAAACAGCACATAGTCACAACACAAGGAGTCATTCCGTTCAGGGTGGGACGATAAGCAGAGGAGGCCGAGAAGCTGACCTATCCCAATTATTGAGGAATGAACGAATTTATGGACCATCCGATCGAGACCTTAGCGTCGCTACAAAAGAAATGACTATATTCAGAGGGCCTTATATCTACATTCACGATATCGATGAAAAGCAAAAGCCAATTATGGTTCGAGAATATAACAAAGTTGCCCGCAAAGAAGAGGGAGATTGGCCTCAATTCCGTAGTGTTGCAAATGGCAAGTGTCCATTTGTGGAGGAAGTAGAGTACAGTCGCCGTGAGGTGGAGAAAGAAAAGGAATTGATCCGTATCCAAAGGCAAAAGGAAAAGGAGAGGGCTGCAGTTCCAAGGACACGAGCTGCTGCTGCGGTAGAAGCAGCTAAAATGCAACCACCAAAGGCAATCAGCAAACGAGCACTATCCCAACTTGATGATGGAGCAAATAGAAGCGTTACTGTTTCGACAAATCAAGCTAATCCATTTGATACTGATAGAAGTAATCGTGCAGAACTTGAGTCTTCTTCTCGAGGACAAAACGCGTTCGTCAGTCGTGCTGGCGTTGGTAGATTGTTTGGAGGTGAGCCTGTTGCATCGGGAGTTCAACCATCGAACATTACTTCTGCTATTCGCTCTCAAATGATTTCTTCAACTGCAGCTCAACCAGGACTCAAAGCTGGAACAAGTAAAGAGATACATGGGCTGCAGAGAAAGGTTCTTGAGAAGACGAATGGTGGAACCGGATCCCATCGTTTGACTGACATCACTGCTGCTGTGAGAGAAGATACAGCCACTCGCCCCGCAAAGCGTGAGGCACAAAAGAAACTTGGTGTAATTGAAGAGGATGATGTTCCTACAGAAAAAGAAGAAGCGGCAAGAAAGATGGAAGCTTCTCGCAAAGCAAAAGCTGTTCAGCAAAGAAAGCTTGAGAAGCGTGATCCAAAGCCCGGATACTGTGAAAATTGCGCTGATAAATTTGAAGACTTTGATGAGGTAAATTCCTTTTCATCTGGTGATTTATACTATACTAATTATTATATAGCATGTTGTCTCACGCAAACATCGTAAATTCGCGGAAAAGCTCGAGAATTGGAAAGAACTCGACGCCTTACTAAATCAACTGGTTCGACCTCTTTTATGATCCATGTATCATTCGCTTCGCAAACGTACTTTCAACCAGTCATATGAATTCATATTTGAAATTCCACAACAGCTTGCCCAATACAAACTAATAATATAACGGCGTTCATTCATCGGGGCTTACATATGAAAAACCAAAAAGGGGTTGTCACAGCAGAAACATTACAATCACAGCTTATGTTCCAAACTTTGTCCTTTGCTCCTTACATACCACAATACCCAACCATTCACGGTTACATTTTTCCCGAGAGGACTAGATGAAGGGATGGGTAATGTTGTTTGCTTTTGGGGCCATGTTACTTGTCATTGTTTGGTTTGAGTTTAGATTTAGCATTTACATAGGGGTTGGCGTTTTTCTCTTTTTTACATTTGTGCTGATTCTTTTTCTTTCTCGTTGGGGAATGGGGCGTTATTGGTTTTAAGGCGTGCTGTCGCTTTCGCTGAAGTTGAGGCTTGTTGATGGGCATGGCATGGCTGGCGAGCATCTTGTTCATGCACTTCATAGCGGAATGTCGTTTGTTTGTGTCTTATGGTGTATATGAGGAGGAGTAAGAGGTTTGAGATGAGGAAGTAAGAGAGTAAGAATGTTAGAAGAGGAGTTGATGGCTATAAGTACATAGCATGAGATGGAATTTGATGATGTGTTCAGAAATCACTTTACTTGGGGGAAGGGGGGAAGGGGAGTGATCTTTCAATGTACATATATGTATGTGTATGTCGGTCAATGAATGACTACATCAATGAATAAAGAATGAAAGACGATGAGAATCAAAATAAAAATGAAAATGAGATTATAGTCATTATATGATAATGTAACGGGGTTGGGTTCTCGCTTAATCTAGATCTTTAGAGTTGGAAGTCGAATGAAGTGAATGTATATATTTAAATATAGGTCAATATAGTGATGGAAGTATCTTGACATAGTCGCTGCACCGAGTCGTGTCGGCACCTATCTGTGGCTCGGGTCGGCGGCAACCGAGCGGCGGGACCAGCGGGCTGCTTTCTGAACGATAGGGGCGGACCGAGGCGTGGGGTGGATGCGAGGCGGGGGGCGAGAACGGCGCCGCCGAATAGCGGGGGGCGCAAAGGCGGCCGCGCCGGCGCCGGCCCGTGGAACCGCCGCGCGCCAACGTGGCGGGCAAGCGGGCAAAGCGGGGCGCAAAGTGCCCCGCGCAACGGCGGGGGTAAGGGCCCGCGCAAGGGCCCCCTGAAACGGCCCCGCGAACGCCCCGAACCCCCCGGAACGGCCCCCGCGGAAGGCCCCGCGTACGGCCCCGCGGAACGGCCCCTGGGAACGCGCGCTAACTTCCGGTCAATTTCCTTTTTCAACTTTTCCTCTCAATTTCCCCTTTCAATTTCCTCTCTCAACTTTCTTTCTCAATTTTCCTTTCTCAATTTTCCTTTTCAACTTTTTCTTTCAATTTCCTCTCTCAATTTCCCCTTTTAATTTCCCTTCTCAACTTCCCCTTTCAACTTCCCCTCTTAACATCTCCTCTCTCACCCGGATTATATATATCACATCACTCACATCACTCACATCACTCACATCACTCACATCACTCACATCACTCACATCACTCACATCACTCACATCACTCACATCACTCACATCATAATAACCCCATCACCATAAACCTAAACCCAACCTCAACCACTCAACCACATATAACCACATATAACCATAACCACAACCACAACCACAACCACAACCACAACCACAACCTCAACCACATATAACCACATATAACCACAACCACAACCACAACCACAACCACAACCACAACCACAACCACAACCACAACCACAACCACAACCACAACCACAACCACAACCACAACCACAACCACAACCACAAGCCTCTCTCCTCTCCCCTCTCTCCTCTTCTTTTTCCTTCATTTTCCTCCCCACCCTTCCCCATTCCTACAAATACCCTAACCCCCTTCCTACAAATACCCCAACCCCCCTCCTACAAATACCCCCAAGACTTAAAGAGTAAATCTCCATCTCCATCTCCATCTCCATCTCCATCTCCATCTCCATCTCTATCTTCATCTCTATTTTCATTTTATAATAATATAATACAAAATCACTAGAGATAATTTATTCTTATTCATTCATTCATCTATTATTCTAATATCCATGCTTTATTTATATAACTCTACTATATCAGACTATATCAGATTAGTAGGGTGTCTAGTCCTCAGTCTTACTTCCTTCGCTTATGAATGTAATAAAATACAATACAATACATACATTTATATCGCATCGCATCGCATTATATCATATCACTTCACTTCACTTTACTTCACCTCTTCAAGTAAAAGAAAAGAGAAACTTTTATCTTCTTATCCGACTCCATATAAACATCTATATATATGGGACCATGTAGATTTCGTTAATCATTGTATATCAACGCAGTAAGCACTTGAATCCATGCATGCATGTATATCTTTTTACTTCATCCATCCAATCCACCCATCCCATTCAACCCCGAACCACCCCACCCCGCCCCATTCCATTCCCCTTATATTCCCACCCTCTACCCTCTCAAATAAACTCATAGATCCACAATCTCATTACATGATTCTAATGTAAATGTATTTAAGCAGCAGTGACAACTTCTTCTTGAGTAATCAACTTTGTGATTTTACCAATGGCGATAGTTTGACCCTATTTAATATATATGTTAGTTTCCAATTTTCATTTCTCCTTTTCATCTCGCTAAAGCTAATGCCCCGAATAAGGATTCAAAACATACCTGATCTCTAAGAGTGAATCTACCCAATTGAGGATAATCTTCAAATTTCTCCACACAAACACTTCCGGCTCCACCAATAACCTCCATTCTAGCAATGATGGAATCACCCTTCTTTGCATGGGTTGGAGGAACTTTACTCTTTCTATTAGTACCCTTTTGCAGTTTATGCAATAACGCTGCGAAAGTGACCTCTTCAATAGCCGAATGGACGTGCATAACGCAATTGAAGCCAGCAGATAGAATACTCTTTAAATCCAAAACTCTAATTTGAGCTTCGAAAGTAGTAACGCAATGAACGAGACGTTTTGGCGAGCAAAGAACGAAACCGGGTAGAATATCTTCTTCTTCGATACCACGTAGACGAAGACGAACTTGGTCACCACATTGACCTGCGGGAATTTCATCTTCAGTCTCTCCATATGTCACCATAACTTCAACCTTTTCTTTGTTAGGCATCATGACAAGGTTCATTCCCTTCTTTACGACTCCAGATTCGATCTTACCCTCGACGAGGGTACCCATATCTCTGTATTTTCCATTAATTGGCATCATGAATGGTGCGTTGACTTTACGTTCGAGTTGAGTCATGTTGTCGAGGAATTCGAGGAGAGATGGTCCATCGTACCATGGGGCAACACCCTTAGGAATTCTGTCCTTGATACCCATGGTTACCTGTGCTGCAATTGGCATGAAGAAAACGTCGGTCTTAAGGTTGTAGCCAGTTCCTTTCAAGAATTGAGAAAGTTTGGTTGTGCACTCCTTGTATCTATCTTGGGACCATTCGACAGTTGGGTCATCCATCTTGTTAATGACGACAATAAGTTTGTTGACACCTTGAGTTTTTGCCAACATGGCATGCTCACGGGTTTGTCCTCCCTTTTCGAATCCAGTTTCGTATTCTCCCTTACGAGCGGAGATGACTAAAATTCCAACATCTGCTTGGGAAGCACCACCAATCATACTTGGTACGTAGGTTTTATGTCCAGGGGCATCCAAAATACTGTATCTCCGTTTTTCAGTCTCAAAATGTGCACGTCCAACTTCGACAGTCTTTCCTTTGGATCTCTCTTCTTTGGTCAAATCAAGAGCCCACGACAAATACCATGTCTCACGACCCATTTCCTTAGCCTCTTTCTTGTTCTTTTCCATGGTTCTCTCGTCAACCATTCCGGTAGCGTAAAGGATAGAACCGCCAAGTGTCGATTTTCCAGCATCAACGTGTCCAATGAAAATAATGTTAACATGCTCCTTGCCGTAAATTTCCTTGAGGGTTTCCTCATCGACATCAGCTGCTTGCTCTTGCTCTACAGCATCTGCGGCACGAGCAGCTGCCTTTGCAGCGCCAGAAGTTCGGGAAGGTGATGAACGACCGGATGATGGTGTAGGAGAGGTCTTTCCACTGGCGGATGCAGGAGTCTTTTCAACTTTCTCGATAGCTTTTGCTGCAGTAACCTTAGCACCGGCTTCTGCGGATGCGGATGGCGTTTCCTTCTTTGGCTCTTCCTTCTTCGCAGGAGCTGGAGTACCAATAGAAAGGACCTTTGCCTTTGGCTTTGGCGCATCGCCTCCGATGCTTAAAACCTTTGGTGCATCTCCTCCAATGCTCAAAACTTTTGGTGCTCCATCCTTTACCGCTACAGGTTTGTTTAGATCTGCCGAACCATCAGCTGGTCTTTTTGCAATAGTTGGTGTTTGCCGAGGGGGTTGTGATGATTGAGCTGCTGCTTGTGGTTGTTGAGCATATCCAGGATATTGTTGCCCTGTAAAGGATTGTAGTCAGTATTTTGGACACTACCAATGTTCGCACACTGTAAAAAATCGGAGGGCCCTCGAGTCCATTCCGGGTTTCTACACTTTTCATAAAGGAGCCGAAAATAACCATAATTCCAAAATCCGTAGATAACTCACCGTATCCTGCATTATATCCACCTTGTTGATATCCTCCAGCATTGTAGCCTCCTTGTTGATATTGATTGTTGTACCCTTGTTGACCATATTGAGGATATCCACCATAACCTTGATTTTGATATTGAGCGAAATTCTGTTGTTGTCCATATTGATCATAAGCTCCTCCATATTGTTGATATTGTTGACCGGGTTGGAATGATTGTGCACCAGGCTGAAAGGAATTTGCGCCCGGTTGAAATGATCTAGCTTGAGGATTGGCATTCAAATTCATTCGTTGAGTTTGTTGTGAAAGATTATTATCTTCCTGAGCGGCTGGATCATCTTCCCATGAGTTGAGGTCCGACATATTTAGTGAAATTCGCGGATTTGTCTTGACGTGTAAGAAAAGATGTGTGGGTTGTGAACGAGGAATTGGAAAGGGCCAAAAAAACTAAAGGAATGGGGAAGAGAAGTGGCAGGTATTGGTGGGGCTAAAATAGGAATGATGAATCGTTTATCGTTTATCGTTTATCGTCTATGGAGGGGTTTTGGAATATTTTTGAGTGTATTGAGTACGAGGACTTGAGAGAGAATACTTGTAATATTTCTAATATTTCGATAATTAAATATATATACATATACATATACATATAACGATATATGACGGTACACGACTGTATATATGAATCTCAGTGACTCACAAAGCCCAGTAGACTCCATATATGCCTGATAAATGCCCAAAGCGACTCGAATTTGACGTACCTAGATATACGTTGGCTGACCTCTACGGTTCATTGGTATCGTTCCATCGTCTCTTGATTAATGACACAAGAACAGGACCATACGAGTTGAATACACTGCCCACACCGTATATTACATATATATATATTTTGCTGTAAATTCTAATCAATACTTTCCACCCTCCTTTTCTTTGCTGGCATCCATTTATCAAGTGCCGCTCTTAATCTATTCAATCCCCGGTTAATGACGTGTTGGCCAATCAATTGCAAGGCAAGTACGATGCTGTTTGAGCCTTACGTCTTTGTTTGCGTCAAATCGTCAACTGGATATAAAAATAATAAATTCGACATCGACATCAACATTAACATCAACAACAAGCATAAAATTCTACACAACTTCTCATAAAGATTATGTCTGTTATCTTGACTATCTCCTCCTTCTTATAGTATTTGATCTATACTAAGGCTTGAATACATTCATAATGGATTTCTTCTTGGGCAAGGTAAAATAACTGCTCCCCATGTTTCATAATCACGTGTTAACTTTTGCTTCTTCCTTAGGTCACCCAGCATGCTGTAAACTATGCCATCAGGTACGCTCCATTCTTTGAAGATCTTTGGAGCATTTTCTAACACTGATGTAGGTCTGGCATTGGCGTGACTGCTTCCTTTGCCATAAGACAAATTCCAAGAATTTTGAAGGTGGGATTTCTTTTTTGGACTGTGAACTTGTGAAAGGCATATGACTTACAAGATTCTAGACCGTGGATAATAATGCCGATTATCGAGAGCTTCATGAATTACAAGAGAGACTCAATAGTAAAATCAAAGTATGTCGACTTTGATGCCAATCAAATCAATGGTGCGGGTTTCCTCAAATACTAACCTACTACCTTCCAGATCGTATCACCAGCTATTGATATGATAGAGCTCATGTGAGTTATATTCACTACTAAAAAAATATCCTTACTCATGATTTGCAGTGCTGCAAGAGGAAATACCACTTTAGAGTCAGCTGTATCTTTAACCAAATCACTTCGATGGGATATTCAATCTCTTGGTATGAGATTAGCAAAAGCTGCAAGTGCTGCAGAAGTTTCACTTCGGAATAAAACCAAAGCAAAAACACAAGCTGCTCACGAGACTGAGATTCGAGAGATTCTCAGAGACATCAAGAAGCTCTTGGTGAAAATCGAGGACGCTGTTCCACTTATCAATTTAGCCATCACCACTTCCGGAGCGAACCTTTCGACAACACTTCCAGCTACTGTATCGCCGTCGAGATTACTACAAGCAAGTAATCTTCTTACTGCTGCAGATCATCAATATTCCAGGAATCCAAATAGACCAGTACAAGTTGGAACAACACTTACTCTCTCTTTATACATGTTATTTGCCGGACATGCTTATCGAGCTCATGATGAAGAGGGTATGAGAGAAACTACTTGGAAAGAAGTTATACACAAGGCCAAAGTCAGACTCTTACGTGTACCTCTCAGATCTACATATGGACCATCTGGACAATTACATCATTCTAAAGAGGCCCGAGATTATTTGACTGCGAAAGATTCTTCCTTGATTAGTGGCGAAGGTAAAGCAACGGAATACGCATATCAGCTTGAAATAATCGAAGATTTTGATGATGATCGAGTTCACACTTTTGAGGAGGGAGAACCACAACCTGGACCATATGGAGATGTCAAATTGGCAGGTATTCGAGAATACTTACCAATTCATCAGATATCCAAGATATTCTATGCAGATACTGGCAAAATATTAAATATTGGTAATCAGGATGAAACAAATAGTCCTGTTTTACTCTTGAAGCGAGATATTAATGCTATGCCACCAAGACGAATGATGGAGGGACAGGAGACACAAAACGAATGGTACGATGATGGTGAAGATGTACCTCCAGAGGAATATTCAGAACCGAACGAAGAAAGTCTAGAACGAGAGGGTGAAGAAGATGACGAATTTGATATCGATGAGCAACTTCGACGAGAAAGTATGGCACCAGAATCACCATCGAAGGAAACTAAAGAAACGCCACAAGAGACAAACACAACATGGCGACTTCCTCACGATCTCGACCCAGAATGGCTTGCCTTGGAAGTATATACCGAAGCTGAAGATTCAGAATCTGAAGAAGAGTTTGAGTCTGAATCAAATGGAGATTCTTCGTATAGTCGACTAAATACTTCAGCCGAACAAACCTCTACTAACGATCTAACCACGAATCTCTCAAATCTCAAAATATCCTCTCCAGCTCCAGCTACTCCCTCAAAAGAAACCCATCTTCTACCACGTCCTATATCTCCCATGCCCCTCTCGTTTAACCACTCCGAGTCTCCTACTCAACCACTGCAAATCGACATTAATCTTCGCTCTTCTCTTTCCCTTCTCGAAATGCTTATACGTCTTACTGCACTTCAACAATTTCAACAATCCACTCATTTATCCGTCCCAGATGAATTCTTAACATTCTTCCTTCATGAATCATCTACTACTGGCGCGGGTGGTAATGATTCGGAACGTAAACGAACAAGAGCAATGGCGAGAAAGAAAGTAGGATTTGATCCTTATGATGAGAGTCCTGTTAAGAGACATGGTGAGGCTTATCAACCTGGGTATGAAGACGATGGAAACGATAGATATTCAAGGGGAGGAACACCTTGGGATGAAAATTTACCATTGACACCAAAATGGACAAGGGAAAGAAGTTCTACACCTCAAAGATCAATGGCCTCACCTATTAGATCTGGGTATGAAAGTGATATAAGACAAAGTCGAGAAATGTTTTCTTCTCCACCACCTTCATCACCAATATCACCTTATAGATCGAATTCTCAACCGCAATTTCGCCAAAGACGGGAACAAGGAAATGGTTATAGAGGAAATGGAGTAAGTGGGAAAAGTAATGGAGGACCTTTGGAAAGAGTTTACAAGGAAAGGGGAGGTGGTACATTGAGTGCGAGAGCAAGTCCTTTGGGGAAAGGAGGAAGTTTAGAGAAGAGTCCGACTCCTGAAAGCTCTAAGTTGGTAGCTAGTATTGAAGGGGGTGAGGAAGATGGGGGAAAAGAAAGAGGAGTGAGGTGAGGATGAAGGATATAAAACGAGCTGAGGGGTGAGTTTATGGATGGAGAATGATGATTGTGCTCCGTACGAGATTGAGAGATCCCGTTGCAGTGCATATATCAAATTCACAAAATGTCTTTTAACGTAGCATCATGTAGCATAGCATAGCATAGCATAGCATAGCGAAGAACGAAACGCAGATCACGAAGATACGAGGAAATGAAATAGATCAGTCAATAAATACCCTTCTATAGAATATGTATAATTCTCAACATATATAATCACATCACTACTTAATCAAAATAATAAGTATTGAATAATTACTATAAAAAATCAGATTAAAATAACAAGAATTCTTGAGATTCTAATATTTAGATTAATCGATTAAGTAGCAGTATTATGAAGTGATAGTTTAGGGGATAGAAATAAATAGAGAGAGAAAGAAAGTAGGAGAGGGAGAAAGAAAGAAAGAGAGAGAGAGAAGTTAGTAGGGAATAAAGGGGAGGGAGAGAGAGATATCTATCTAGTATATATAAGAAGTATATAGATAGGATATATTTATATATTTAAAGAAATAAGATAAATAAATGAATCAATAAATGAAAAAAAAATTCAGAGTCTGAAGCCGCGGGTTTGAGTTTAGATTTGGATTCTGGAGATAGTAAATAAATGAATGAGATATTATATTACTTCTAAAAATATAGATATAAATAAGTAGATATAAGATATCTCTTCTCTATTCTAATAAAGAATATACAAAATAGTAGAGGAGATATAATAACTATTATAATATACTATATAATATAAATATTTCTATCATATCAGCTAATATTCACATGCGTATATTAGTAGATACCGATACCAGTATCATATATCTCTTTTCTTCCTGGGTTCTATATCTCTCTCTATTTATAACCATCATCTCCATTTCTATCGTATACACATTCCCATCCATCACCTACTCATCATCTACCCAATCACCTATCTACTTACCTCCTTACCACCAACCCATCTATCACCCGCCTCCAACTCAACCCGGCGGAGTGGAGCGAGCATTCCGTTGCTTTTTGATTTTATTTGACTCGGTCCAATCCAATCCAACTCCAATCCTACGAGTCATGAACCAGCCCGCCAGCCAGCTACCTGATTCCCTCGCTCGCTCGCTCGCTCGCTTATCAAAACCCAAACTCAAACTTACTGTACGCTTAGAACTCAAGCTTAGATCTCAAAACATAGAACGTGGAATGAATTTAAAGTTTCGTGGGAAGGAAGGGAAGGGGCCGAGGCACAGGAACCGAGGCAAAGGGACGAGGTTTGACGGACGCGCCGATGGTGGATGGATAAATAGATGCGACAGGTTAGTTTGTGGATGGTTAGTTTGTGGATGGCTAGTTTGTGGATGGTTAGTTTGTGGATGGTTAGTTTGTGGATGGTTAGTTTGTGGATGGTTAGTTTCTGGATGGTTAGTTTGTTGGGTGATGGGGGTCTAGAACTTTTGGATTGTTTATTTACTGATTGATTGATTGATTAACTGACTGACTAATTAACT